GTGGAGCGCGCGGTGGAACTCATGGTCCAGTTCCAGCCCAAGGTGGGCCTTGGCTCAGGAACCACTTCAGTCCGGTCGACGGAGTGACACCGAAATCCCAGAGGAACAAGATCCCTAGGGATCCTGTCGTACCTTCTCAGAAGGTACTTGGACCCTCAAAACCTACACAAGAGTGTCGAACACATCACCTTCTGAGAAGGTGCTTGGATCCCTAGGGGATGATTGAGAGATGAGGAAACGGTGTGACAGAAGATGACATAAGATGACCATGTGATTCGGAGAGGGAGTTGATTTTTCCAGCCCCTGCAGCTGGCATCCACTGAATATGCTTAGCAGTACGTCCTTGCATATCTGCAGATACCTCCAGGGTCTGCAGCAAATTCCCGGGCAGGATCCTTCAATCCTGGAATCCTTCCTAATAATTCTGGGCTTCAGGTCACAACTCCACCCATCCAATTGGCCTCGATCACAACTCCTACCAGGTGTTTCTTTTGAACACCCCGGGCGTGCAGCGAACCCATTGCGTGAAGCCCCGGGCTCCCGCCCAAAACAAGCTGCGTGAGCAGGTCTTGTCGGACGTCCGCACGACGTGCTTTTGGTCCTTCCGCCGGGCCTCTGCAAGTTCGTGGGGACGAGGCTGGGCCGCGTCTGCCGCGTTCCGCGTTTGCCGAGTTCCGCGTGTTTTGGGTTAGTTAATCTGTTCCTGTTTTGGGGGGGCTTTTGAGACCACGGAAGGCAGAAGAATGATGAAGGAAGAGACACAGGCATACACGGGCAAAAGACAAGCCCTGTTTTCACATCTTTTCACTTTCGTTTGAGGTATTGCTACCCTCCCTGCCTTGGGGGGAAGGCTTTGCGGAACGTCGCCCCTTTTCCTAAACAGCGAACTCTGGTTTGAAAGGGACCTACTGTTGGTTGTATGCTGGGGCCCTCAAGGTGTTCTTCTAGAAGACGGTTTTTGTCGACGAAAGGACCTGCAGAGATCTTCAGTGTGATTGACTCATTGAAACATTCCATGCCAACCAGGAGCGATCGGACGCTACGATCGGGGCTCCTGGCCTTTCTACTAGGAGTCCAGGAGCAAGAGGACGCTACTACTACTACTAATAACAAAGGGCATCGCTACTAGGAGCAAGGACGCTACTAGGCCTTTTTGGTTCACAAGTTTTCTTCGGTGCACCACTCTACACATGCTTTTGCTCATTCTTGTTCCAGGCGATGCTCGACAGGGCGCGGAGCGTCGACGGATCAAGGGAGCCCTGGGTGAGTCTCAGGTCCTTTTGACATATATAGCCACAAGTGCATGGCATGATTTGTGGGAAGACAATGGATTTGATGTCCATGTTCATAGAATAATAGTTCTTTTATCAAACGGTGGTCAACCCCATCACCAACCCATGGATTCGGTGTCCGCTGTACCACGTTTTCTATGGAACCTCAGCCTGGGACACATGGCTGGAGCTCAAACCAGACCAACCAGACCGCACATGACCCCTCAGACCACTCCACTGGGAATGGGGAACTCACAAAAACCCCGGACTCGTTGAACTCTCCTTTGGTCTCGTTAGTGTTGGATTACCCTACCGAGTCAACTCACATGGACCTTGACGGCGTTTCAGCCCCCTGGAAGGGACCTATTCTGTCTCTGCATGTCTCTACTGACAAGTGATTTTCAGGGTCCAGGTCAGTCTTAAGGGGTTAGTATAGGCCAAGGCAACTCGGGGTCTCTCCGATTCCGTGCGTTTCACGAATTTTCGGGAGTCGGACGGCCAGCAAGGAAACCAAAGGGACGTGAACATGGAATAGAAGCTTTGCAAAGCTTTCGAAATTTGGTACAAACACATATGAACCTTTGAACAATTCTGAAGGACCCGTTGTGTTGTGTTATACATTACAATCATGAATCGTTACAAATTACAAATTGGGTTTCAATATGTTTCAACAATAATGTACTTTGTTTTGGCCTTGGAAAAAATGTTTCACATACAGTTTCTTGGTTGGTGCATGGTACCCCTGGAAGAGTATAAACCCCGTTCAACAATATATATAGTAGCTGGAATGCCAAAGCACCTTAAGGTGGTCGCATTGCCGAGCACGCGACCCTCCACGTTGGGCGGCAATGGGGCAACTTTAGCTGCATGCCACGTAACTCCGGAAGTTTTTTGTCATTGGCTTCGGCCTTGGTGAGAGTAGCCAGAGGCTAACCCACTTCCAGTCCTGCTGGTCTGGAGCCTCCACCTTGTTCTGCTTGCTTCCCGTCGTGCTGCGGCTCTCAGGGGAGGGCGGGACGTGTGCACCCTCATCGACCGTCAACAAGACGGTGACGATGCGGCGCCCTCCTGCGAGAGTGGTGCTGTCTCCCTTAGTCTTGGGTCTTTGAGGTCCAGCAGTCGCTCCTGGCCAGGGCGCTGCTGTCTGCGGCTGGTGGGTGGCTGGTCCTGGGTGCTGAACCTGGTTTTTCTGTGTTTTTCTGGCCCTACGGTGTCCACGGCTCTGTCCGGCTTCCTGGTCCTTTGCTGGGGTGTTTTGGCTGAGTGCTGGGGAGGGGCTGGATGGAGGGGGCTGGGGCTGTGCGCGGCAGGAGGAAAAGGCGCCACTGCCGCTGTGCGCAGCGTCGACGCACAAAGAAGGCCCACCGCTGAACTTGCATCAAGCACCAATGGCACCAACAGGGGCGTAAGGTGGACAGCTCGGCGGGCCGTGGGTTGGGATGGGAATTATAACCTGGAATACGCGGAGGCTTGGGGCTGAATTCTCGAAATTCGACCAGGAAATGAAACTGTGGTGTTTTCTCCATATGGTCCTCCCCACGGTATAGCCGTGAGGGTGTGCCTGGCTGTGTGCCAGGAGTGGTCCTATCCGGACTGATGAGGTCGTGGATGTTGGTGGCTGTGACTGTGGGGTCTGGCTCCCCAGCGCTTGAAGGTTGAAAAAAAGTTCTTGGGGTTGCGGGGGTGTTCGGCCTATCTGAGGCCCGGCTACATGCTGGTGCCGTGGTAAAGCCGCATGGGGGTGCCTGGCTTCGTGCCAGATGCTGTCCTATACGGACAGACAGGTGTCTTGCTCACTCGTTCGTCTGTCGCTTGCTCTTGGTGACCCTTCTATGTCCTGCAACATTTAGCTCTCAAGCAGAGCCGTGCCGGTGTGGCTCCTCTGTTCCTGACACCATGGCCGATGTTGGAGCACGCTTGGGGGTGGTGGAAGCAAACCTGGACCGTCTCCGGGGGGCGTGTGGAGAAGGTGGAAGATAGGGTGGGCAGGATTTTTACGATCCATGTAACCAGCCTGGATCATGAGGTTTGGTTGGATATGGGAGATGCGGCTACGGTTGGCGCATTGGCAGACCGGGGGGGAAGTCTGGCTCAAGCAGGTCTGTGAGGCAGTCGGAGTGGGGTGGCCGCTGAGCGAGGATCAGCCAAACAGGGAGGACACGGTCACGGTAAGAGCAGGCGTTCGGTGTGGTCGGCATTATGGGCCTTGCGTGATGAGATCACGGCCAAGAATTTAGTTCGTATCGACCCGGAACGTCTGGGCAGACTGAGGCGGAACGTTTTCGCAAGCCAGGGCAATTTTATTCAACAGGGTGCCGTCGCCCTGCTGAAGCCCAGCCGAAAAAAGGAAGAGAGCCCATGCCCGAAACAACGCCGACCAAGGAGGTAACCCTGGGTGGCAAGGGTCACGGGCGTGGCAAGGGGGAGAAAGGAGGTAGAAACGGAGAGAAGGGACGCAGTCGCGGTCGAGACCGCGGCAGTGGTCGCGGGCGCAACTGAGAAAGGTCGCAGGAAACATCGGTCAAGTCCCACCAAGAAGCCGTTACAGGGCATGAATCAGAAGGAGGCTCGAGGCAGGCTGCGCAAGAGCGATGAATGGCAAGATAAGTTGCGCAACAAAGGTTGAAAGGTGAAACTTGAAGGTTTTACGAGGAGGGTAGTCAGGTCAAGAGTGGGCCACACTGAAACCAATCTCGAAAAGGTGGTGGAGAAGAGGTTGCACAGGCGGAGGGCGAAGAGGAGGAGGGAGGGGAGACGGCGGGGGGCGGCATCACTGACATAAAATCTAAAGACCCTCACCTGACAGGTGGGGAAACGTTCGGCCAAGCTTGCACTTGAAAAAAACAGTACCGCTCTGGCACTCCAGATATATTTCAATACTACGTTGGAAGATTATCTTGTTTATACATATATATGCATAGTGCTTTTTCTGAGCAAGCATCCTACCACTTAGCCGTGGATTGGAACCGAGCCAGGAGGTCGACGAGACTTTGCCTCGAGCGAGTTTTATGATCGCCTCGTGCCCCGCTTATTGGAAAAAATAGACCAGATCCATCCCATCAGTTCGGTGCCCTAGGGCTGTGCTTTGAGTGTGTATTTGTCGCCTTTGTTGGGCCACTCACTTAAGAAGGTGGCTACTTACAGTGGATTTCACTTTTTTGTCCAACATCCACCTCCAAGGCATTTTGACTGTGATCACGTATATCACGTGAAACCTGCCTGTTACAATACCTCCTTTAAAATGGATCACCTTCCACAAATTGGCTGTGGAAACACTGCTTACTTGTCCCAATTTTTGCATGCATGAGGGGCTTACCATTTTTGAGAGCATAATCATGTCTGAACCCAGGGAAATCATCGGCGTATTTGCATCGGCGTTGCAGTTTGGGAGAGACATGTTTTTTTTGACACACTGGGGGTTGCAGATGGCCTTTTGCCACATTGGTTTGTTGATTTGTAGGGGGGGATGCCCACGCACGGTTGTATACAACCATTTGATTGATACCAAAATTGATTCCTTTAATAGTTTGAAAAGGACAGACATCATTAGGCCCATCCAAGGAACGGAATTTGTCAATTGGTCCATGCAAATCCTCAAAAAATGTCCGGGAAACCAAATTTAACCAAACCATTGAAATAATTGTAGTGTCATGCATATATATAATATAGATATCACCACCCATGATGTTCCTGAACATGCCGATGTTCGACTGAGGCTGTGTTTACCTCATGTGGAGTTTTGCCAAGCCAATGGTCCTTTGTGAGGCCAGTTCGATTTTGAGGCATGAAGGAACAACACATCCAGGTTTATTAATGTTTCTGTGTGTGTCATTAAATCCAGTTGCATTGCATGCAACAATCTTCATTGGGTTCACAGCACAACTTAATTCGGTTAGGAAACACCTCGGTGTTGTATCCTTGTCGTCATTTCCACACCAACCCACTCACATCTCACCAAACGCATGGCACAGGAACTCTTCAACGCAGTGGCGTCGAGGGTCATTCCAGAGGCATTTCGGACTCCCACGGCGCCCGTGGCTCCACCGGATGAACAGGGAATACTGAAGACTCGCACAACTGCGAGAATCGTGTCATTTTTGCATATGTCACTACCGTATTTCATATGTAGATGCATTATGTCATGCATTGGTTGAATACTTGGACCCTGCAAAGATGTTTTTCCCGTCTCGCCGGAAAACATGACGCAGAAAGATGCGGCCAGTTCGTTATGGCACACATGAGACCAAAATGACGCAGAAGAGACAAACAACGCAGAAGTAACGTAACAAAGATCAACACCCAAACCCAATTTTTGTGTGTGATGTTTTTGAGTTTCACCTGAAAATAGTGCCCGGTGGGAAGGACAAACACATACTGTACATACAATATATTTATGTATTATGTTTTTGTGGGGTGTAGGTTATGTATGAAATGTAATACACTTTCGGTGCAAACAGTTTCCGGTTCACTCGTTTGGGGTCGAGTTTTTCAGGAAACCCCATGTGAAGATACTTGGAAAGCTGTGTTCACTTAGCAGCTCAAGCCAAACTGTCAAATTTGCATCCACAGGTTCGTACTTCTAAGTGAACAAAGCATAACAAAGTGAGGGCTCAGTTTTGTTGAATTCCAGACACTCCATGTATGGCATAATGTCAACGTCGGATTAATCAACGCGACCCCCCTTCAAGGTCAACAAGGTCAACAAGGTTCGATTCAAGATTGGAGGTATTGGAGGACCACGTCCCCCCTAACCCTAATGAAGGTGATGACCTGATGGTGGATGATGAGATGATGACAAGATTAGGAAAGATTGGGATTGGGATAATTCGGAAAGAGATGAAAGAGATTGGAAGACACGATTCTTTCTTTGATTTGGATGATTAGGAAAGAAAGAGGCTTGCAGGATGAAAGAGGGAAGACAAGATAGAGGACAGAGTGTGGGATCAATAGGGCGAGGGGCCTCTACTACGAAAGGGTGGTAGGGCCTGTGTGAGGGGTACCCTTTGTGAGCTTGAAATAAAGATGTTGATAGAGTTTCAATAAGGGAACATGACATAATGTTGCTAGCGAGTTTTTATTTGTGTTTTAACAGGGAAGGATGAGAAGAAAAAGCAGAATGAGAAGCAGAAGGAGGATGATAATGATGGATGAGTGGACCAGAAGATATTGGATACTGACCAAACATACTTTGGATATGTTACGTTTATATGTATTTTTTGGTGGCAGCTGGGCTTACGTTTATATGTATTTCAATATTTGTTTTTGGCCAGTAAAAAATATCAGGTCAAGGTGGAAATTTAGGTTTTAAATTAGTTTAGTATTGGGGGCTCAAGCTGGGCTTGTTTAATAGGGGGGTTACTTAATCCTAGGTTGACATTAGTTACCTACACTGGGGTGGTTTCAGAGGTCAATGTAGGCATAATATGTTCCTGTCCCATTTGTCGTGTTTAGGATTTAGGATTAAGTCAGTCACGCTCATCGGAACTAGTGGGAAATAAGACCGGAAGCGCCGCAAGGTCCAAAGCTTGGACCGCTGTGCTTTGGCCATGTTCGCTTGGAACTACGCCTACATCAATCACGATGTGCCCGAGGCACCCTTTGGGATTGGATACTCTCAGCGAATGGATCAGCTGGCAATTGGGGTTAGAGTGCTGCATGAATACTTTATTTGGATGCAGAAACTTTCATTATGTATCCTTTTAAAGTCTTGTTCACGGTTCTCGGGAAGTCCATGGTATTGCCTGCAAAAAGGCAGGTTTCTTGCACCTTGCAGATCGTTTTATACCCCTTTGCATGGTGTCAATTCTATAGATACCTGGTCACAACTGCATGCAACTTTGCAATTTGTGCACCGGTGGAAAGAAACACTGTGAATAGAACACATCTCGCAAGTGGCCAAGTTTGTTTCTCAATGTTTCACCCGCAGATCTAGGGTTTGGCTTGAAGTACGGCCACTTAGTCCTTTCACTGAACTACAGCAAAAACATATTTAAAAACTATCAAACTTAAAAGCCTTCAAGGTTTTCTATCCTTGTTGTTTCCCAAGCTGCATTTCCCAGTGGGCTGCTGGACATTGAACTGAACACGAGATCTGGCATCCGAGCTATTTCTCAGCATGACCAAGCCTATAGTCATTAGTCTATTTATTATGCATCTATTTATATGTCGATTTCCTTTGGATTCTGCGGGATCTACCGATCACCGACTGCGCCCCACGAGGTCTACCAGGCTTCGGCCAAGGAGGCCCTACGGCCCGCACGCCTGGAGGTGGGAACCGGACGGTGGGACCAGCGCGACCAGTCCACCGGGTGGGTCAACCAAGGACGTAGATACAACATCAATGTCCTTATCGCATTTCACCTACTCCCAGGCACCCATCACCAGATGAAGGGATGGATGGTGGAGATACCCCCTGGTGGATCTCTAAATATCCATACAGAGATCTGCCCAATGGTTTTGCAGCTCCCGGTTTGCTGCGTTTGGAGCTTAATGGTTTGCTGGTCCTTTGCAGCACCATCGTCGTCGCCTGGACGGGGCGAACCTCTGGTTCTGGAGCGAACGCTCGCCGAGCTCCTAGACCGGCCGCTGCGGGTCAGCGTCGAAGCTTGAGACTTAGCTCATCAGACATCATCAGAATCAATCCACCAAAAGGCACCACCAAGTGGTTAGACGGATGCGACCCTGAGGTGGTGTTCGACCCTGGTACCGTTTCGGGTTTTTCCGAACACACGCCGCGGCGGGTGAAGCTTCGAACTGCTCGCCTTCGTTTCACGCGCCAGGAACTGACGCCGCGGGACTTGGCGAACTTGATGCGGGCCTTCGCGAAGGTGGCACGAAGGGATGCGAGGCGTTGGTTTGTGCTGGGTGATGAGCAATGTAATAAAGTGGTAAAGGATCAGTTGTAGGACTCCTATAGGATTCTCAATTGCCAGATTCTTCAACATATTTTTAAATCTCAATTCTTCTCAATTGCCCAGATTGGAACAAGATGGAACAAGCAGTGCAAGCGCAGCATATCGTTTGTTGTTTTCTGGGCTTCTGGGCTTCTTCAACGGTCGTGTTCCTTTCATCCGTTCGGACCTCCCATGTTCTGTGAAGCCGGGAACCAGTCATAGGAAAGTCCAAGAACGGTTTGCATGTACTTTTTGAGGTAGTCGAGGACATGGAAAGAAGCAACATGAGCAAGCACTGTTCTGTAGAGTTGTGGGAATAAAGTTGGAAAATGCAGAAGATGGATTCACAAGTTTGTCATAGCACTCGTTGCGATGGCTGATGGTTGTACAATCCTTTGTTTGATCCACTTGAGGACTCATCCCCCATTCCAAGAATGGCCTCTTAAGCCTCGCACGGCGGCGTAGCCGCCCACGCCCCGCACCAGGCGGGTGTGCGAGAGGTGGAACTGATGCAGGCCCTCTCGGAGCACGGCTGCGGGCTCCTGAGGCTCGGTGGAGTCGGCCGCTTCACGTCGAAGGACGGAGAAACGGACCGGACGGGGTGCAGAGGTCTGGGCTATGGGCTATTGTTCAATCCATCAATCAATGGGGGGTTGATGAGTCTACATGATTTTGCTAAGACTTGATTGGTTCTGCTACCTTTTGGTGGTACTACTTGGTAACCTTAGTGATTCTTTGGTGTAACGAAGTAGTGAGCAGAACCAGGTGGGCCAGGGAGTGTAGGCATCAAAACGTAAGTTCTGTCCAGGATGGACAAGGGGGATGCCCCAAATCAAGGGAGACACCAAGTTCTTCTATTCCCAAGCCCCATAAAGGCTGTAAAGGAATCATTGGATAACTTTGTAATGGACACCCATGGACACCCGCTTAACCGGCTGAGACACCCCTCGGCCGCCGGGCCCTGGCACCAATTGCTGCAGGGATGGCATCGATCAGAAGTGTTACCGGCGGCCCATGAAGTCCTTGGCGCGCGAGATCTACGTGTGGTGCCCAAGATCCAAAAGGCTGAGTCGCTCAGCGGAACGTGCTGAGAAATGGCTCCCGGTGGATCGGTGGGGTGGGTAGTTGAGAAGGAGGCCACATGATGCTACACTAAGAACAGAGAAAAGACTAAGATAGACCTTAATTTTTTAGGCCCTGCAATCTTGGGGCCTTTTAGGAAACGAAAGGCTTTGGGGGTCCCCGTTCTCCAGGTAAGTCATTTTCTCAGCTAGACATTCAACGTGGCAAGTTCTAGTTCGCAATGTTGAAGTTCAAGTTCTCCCTGGAACCATGATTGTATATATACATACAATATATATATAATTATATATGTTATATAAATAAACTATCCACGTGGATTGCACCATTTATTTGGCAACTATGTGGTATTCGGATTTCATGGTCATCCGAACTCGGGCCAGTTTGCTGTATGCCGAACTGGGCGGCGGAAAGCGGGGGCATCCCGCTGAAGCGGCGTGGTAGGGATGCAACAACACAGCCAAACCACCGAGGACGTTGCTGCAAATCAGGGGCCCAATGGCATCCAGTCACTTCCACATGGTCCATGGCATTTGGGTGTTTGGCAGTTTCTGTTTTTTTACTTCAACAAAGCAGCCGAGTCAACACCGACCCCATGGAAAGAGAAAAGCAATCAACACCGACCTCATGCGACATCGACATAGACTGGAATTTTCATCCTGTATGGACAGAATGTCCACTTGAAAGCTTCACAGGAGGAAGACTTCAGTGCGGTGGATGGGATGGTGGATGCCTTTGACATGGCCAGAGCCTCGATGGACGCCGACATGGCGCTTTAGGAACGGGCTGCAGATTCTTCACCAAAATTTTGCCTGAGGCATCAGAGCATTGGAAGATGTTTGAAAGGCTGCTGTGTAAAGGGATGAGGTGTAGGGAAGATTCTTTGGAAAGGGCTGCTGCTTCTTCAGCTGTGTAGGACATTGTTGAAGATGTTTGAAGGGAATGTTTGAAGGGAACCGTCTACAATTTGGAGGCATTGGAAGATGCGTTCAATGTTAAGAGCAGTGGTGGGGTGTGGGTGGAGCCCGCCCTTGGAATTATTTGATGATTTGCCTGGGCATTGAAATCAGGATTTTTAAACGCCACGGGCCACAAGCACGTAGAATCAATAGGAGTCATTTACAACTTACTGTAGATCTTCCCCATTTACTCTTTTCTGGGTCAGTCGTACACAGCTCCAGCTGTATCATCGGAGTTTTCTTCCAGAAAGGGTCGGAACGCAGCGGTCCAGGGGTATTTGAGCTACCCATTTCCAACAGAGGTTGAAAGACCCTATAGACATCTATAGACTATCCCATAGGTACCCCAGTTTATGGGTCCTATTTACGGTCACTTAACGTCTCTTGGTTGCGTGTGTTTGGTGGGTCTTTTCCCGGTTTCGCCTCCGGTCGCTCCCAGGTTTCCTTGGCCGAAATGTCCGGCTCTGAGATCGGGACGTGACTCCAGTGACGTGAGATCAGGATGAGGAAAGAGTCACTGGGCGAGACGATCAAATAGTATGAGATATTCTGAGTCCCTTTTCGTCATGGTGAAAAGAGTGTAGCCAGCAATGAAGAACGGGAGGGGTGTATTCCATTATGTTCCCATTGCCATAGCTTGTCGAAGCTCCAAGTCAGACACATCGGGACCAGGGTCGAATGGGTATTTGAAGGCTGGTGGTTTTAGTCACAACTTCATCAACCCACTCTGAAAATCTTAAAATCAGGGGCTCAGACCAAAAGTGTCATGGGGACTAATCATCACCCATTCTCAAGCTTCTTAAAGCATCCCCCTTTTCTTCTGTGACACAGATGTCGACACGAGGCGATGTCGAACCTTCCGGAGGGATCTGTTCTCGTCCGGGACACCTTTAAGTTGGAACCCCGAGAAGACGGCCCGGCCGGTCGCATTAGGAGAAGGCTGGCACAAGCGTGAATAAGATGTAAATCCACCACGCGCCAGCGTGAAGTAGGCTAGTTGCATAGCTTGAGGCTCTTCTATTGCTTCCAACAGGTTGGTTGTTGCTGGAGTACCAGGGTTGAGCTCCTTTGCCACCCGGTGTCGGTCATACCGAGGTTGAGCTCCTTTGCAGATCAACAATATGTCCACCATGACTTCCTCTCGCTGGCCGACGAATACATGATGGAGGCACCGGCGTTCCGCACCGGAAAGCGAGGCCGCACCGCAGGTGCGGAATTTGTTTTGGTGTTACTGGTGGAGTCGCATGTGTTGTTTCCAAGTCCTACTTATGTTCTTTTGCTAGCTTCTATGTACTTATACAGATTATATAATCGTTAATCATCGTTAATCTTATATACACTTTCCCTTTCAGAACGTGAAGAACAAAGGACTATGAGCTGTGATTCACAACATCTACGGATGTAGCCTTCAAGACAATTGCTGTTTCTCAAATTCTCATAATGTTACTTTTGTTCATTGCGGGTTCGTTGGAGTTTCCGATGGATCCAAATCACCAACTCTCGACACTTGACCCTCTGATGGGTCGTCGATGGGTGGACGACGGGTCGTCGTTCACGCAAACCAGGTGGACCATGTGCAGTTTCCTCAAAACAAGTCAACTTGGACAACTTCTAGCATGTTTGGCTGGGGAGGTCGAGGCTGCAGCGTCCTCACAACTATAGTGCTGTTCCAAAAGAAGGCCTGTAGTGGCTTTCCACAGAAACCTTAGCTAGCTCGATTGGGTTCCATCGACTTCACCCTGCAAAATATGTTTCTGGAAACAAAAACAACAACAATGTGTGCTTTCCAACGCTTTCCCTATTTATTTCTGATGCTTTCCCAACATTGCGCCTAAAACGAACTCCGTCCGAAAACTCGTTGATGGCAGGGCCTGCGTCAGCCGAAGAGAGACGTGGAGACCTTTCTTCGCTTCCCACAGGCCGCGGATCGTCGTTCCTCACAGATCGCGGCAGTCCTTTTTGCTTTGAGCATCGCTGGAATCGCTGGGCAGCCGTTTGGCTTGGAGATGGTTGACATGAGAGGATAAATGAGTTATATATATAAATATGTATATATAAACATATATATATAACATATAGGAAAATACACTAATACACATGTAGACCCCAAATCCGAACACATCTATACACCCAAAGACCCACGGTTGACCCAGCTTGTTGTCTCGGATCTCTTGGTTGATTGTGATAAAGCAAGTGGTTGTTGTTGTTGTTGTGGTTGTTGTGGTTGTGGTTGTGGTTGTTGTTGTGGTTGTTGTGGTGGTTGTTGTTGTTGTGGTTGTTGTTGTTGTTGCTGCTGCTGTTGTTTTAAGAATTGGGTTCGGTCAAACCTGGAGTCTTGGTCCGTACAGTACCCACACTCCCTGGTACCCGAAAGGAGTCGAAGGACGGGAAGGCGATCGAACGAGGATCTTCGTCTCGCCGGGAGGTCAACCAAGGTCTCCTGGTCGAACGACCCACGGCATTGGTTAGCCTTTTTCTCCACCTCCCCCATCCCACAGCATCCCACAGCCTCCCATAGCCCCCAAGCGACAGTCTTCTGCTCCTTCGTCTGCAGGTCTTTGCCCGGGCGCTGGTCTCGCGTGCAAGAGCCTACGTGGATGTCAGCGGCCCTGGCCTTGGTCGTCAGACAGCCTTCCACCGTCGACCGGACCAGGCAGAGACCGACCCCCTCGGTTCGGGAAGACTGACCACGGGGTCACGGTCTTCCTATACACCAGCGATGTTGCGGGAGTCTTGAAGCATATTATAGTTTTGTTGGCGCTCCAAGACTCGCGAGGAGAGGATTTGTTTGGACAATGGTGGAACTCGGCACGCGGCAGCCGTTGTGCCGCTGGTGTTCACCCTTGTGAGCCGCCCTGTCACGGCTCACAGGTCGGGAGCTCTTTCAGCAAGCGATGCCACATGTGGTGCTGGACGCCCCAGAGGGCATCGGTGCAGCGGGTGGCCTGCAGCGGTGCATTCCACGTGCGACACGACTGATGGGACTGGCAGAGTTTACATTTTGGGTGGTTGAAAACGGGTCAGTGGGATGGCACAAATGCCAGTCCCATCAGTCGTTTGTGGGTTCTGGAACTGGACTTGGTCGACTGAATGGTCAAAGAACTGGTGAGTGATGCGAACGTTGGTGTTACTGTAAATGTTTTTCATAGATTGATTTTATGAGTTCAATTCACAGATATCTAGATATCTAATCTAAGAATTATCGATGTAGGTAATTGCAATTGTGTTTTTTTGAACCACTGAGTTCGTTGCCTCTTCGCTGCGTAATCGAATCTTTGACGTCCCCCTGAGCCAAGGAGATCTCTCAAGGAGTTGAAGGCAGGGACGTTGGCTGTTGAAGGAGATCTCCCAATTCGCAGAATTTGCAAAAGCAAAGATCACTCACATGCTGTCACATATTGTAATGATATGTAATATTAATAACATTGATGTCTCAGCTCTTGAGTTTGTATACATGGTTGCCCCGTTTCTATTTATATTTGCGTCGATTCGTGATGCGGGAACAACTCCCACAATCCTGACCCGTTGAGTGTTGTTTTAGACCGGACTGGCAGCCATGTGCCTGATTGATCCCTGAAATCAACCACCCATGGGCGCCTCTCGGTAAATATGGCAGTCTCAAACAGGTCGTGTTTGGGAGATTGAAGGCATGGATTTTCTTGCTCTGTGGTGGCCAAGCGCATGTTGATGCATTTTGAGGTCCGTGGTGTTCATGTTCAGCTGCTTTAAAGTTATCTAGAGCCCTTTTGACCTTTGTTTCGAACACGTCATGTTGGAAAGCTTACTGTTCAATAATTAACCTATCCCACCTGCAAACCAATGGACAGGTGTATTTTTCCACAAAACATAAAACAACTTACGTTCCTGACTGTCAGGCAGTATAAGCCTCAAAAGCAACTCCCGACACTCCCATGGGACTGGCATATTTACAAACATTTGGATGATAGAACAGGGGGTCAATGGGATCCACAAAACACACCACACCACATGGAGCGTTAGTTAAAAACAAACAAACAAACAAACAACAAGCAAGCAAACAAGCAAGCAAGCAAGCAAACAACAACAACAACAACAACAACCACAACGACAACGACAACGACAACAGCAAAAGCAAAAGCAAAAGCACCAGCAGCAGCAGCAGCAACAGCAGCAACAGCGGCAACAGCGGCAACAGCAGCAACAGCAGCAACCGCAACGGCAGCAGCAGCAGCAGCAACAACAGCAGCAACAGCAGCAACAGCAGCAACGGCAGCAACAGCAACGGCAGCAGCAGCAGCAACAACAGCAACCGCAACGGCAGCAGCCGCAGCAGCAGCAGCAGCAACAGCAGCAACAGCAGCAACAGCAGCAACAGCAGCAACAGCAACGGCAGCAGCAGCAGCAACAGCAGCAACAGCAGCAACCGCAACGGCAGCAGCAGCAGCAACAGCAGCAACAGCAGCAACAACAACAAGAAGGTGGGATCATGTAGGGCAAACCAAAACACCGCATCCATCCGCATTTTCATATCTTTTGGGAACATGATCATGCGGCCAGCATGGGCCACCAGACCTTCTCGATTTGTAGAGACCTCTCCAGAGACCAGGCACCTGACGTCTTGAGCCTTGTGGTGGTCCCTTGGCGATCACATCGTGGGTGGCACCACGCCTGGCCGTTTCTGGGCAGTCCGACATGGCAGTCCCTTTGGGATCAGACACCAACCTCGCCTGAATGTCATGGGCCTCAGCAGACCGTGACGAGCCGGTCTCCTGAGGTCCGTCCTGCGTGACCCGGCTTCACTCGGTTCGCCTGGGAATTCATGACCAACCCATTGATTTCGCCTGAAGGCCGAAGCACCAGCCGTGTTCTTCTAAGGGTTTTTACACAGAGCCGGACCAATCATTCTTTTGAAAAGGCTCTTTGAAGACTTTGAAGACTATGGTGACCTAGCTTTACTCCCTTCACTTCCTTCGTTCCAAAAGCTCGTTCTTGGTGCAGCACCAACCTCTGGTTCCCCGATGTTCCCCGTCGTGGCAGCGGCCTGGTGTCGCTCTTCAGAGGCTTGGGCCATGCTGGGCCCCAGGGATCCTGACATTTTGGCTGCCTTCGAGTCCAGGCCTGAAACACGCGGTCCATGTGGCTGCGTGCGCGTGCGCACACGCGCATGTGTGTGTGTGTGTGTGTGTCAAACCCTGTTTCCAAGGGTCTAATTTTAATTTAAAGCAGGGGGACAGAGCTCTCTGATGCTACTCTGTCCAACGAAGCTAGGCATCAGAGAGGGAAGCATCCACTGGCCATGGATGTGTACCTGCTTCAACGGTTGAACAAGCTGTCCAATTGACCTTGTTTGTTTTCATGGTTCTTCATGATACTCCCCCTAAACCTTCCCACCGCGTTCTTGCAACTGAGCCGCGCGTTTTCGTGAGCGTTTCGTTTTCGTGCTTTCTGCAGACTTCAAACCATTTTGTTCAAACATCTACAAGTTTTGCGGACTCTTCACCATACCGTTCTTCACCTTCCTTCCCAACGTGGCAATTGAGTTAACTGAAAACCAATGTCAGAGTGTGAGCCGCTCAGTCTTCCCACTTGGGTGCTGGGTGTGACCCTCCGAAAGGAGGCGCCGAAACCATTCCGGAATTCACTGGTCCTTCATATTTATAACTGACCCTTTGCTTCTTCACTTTCATAACTGAATTAACGGATTTTTGAGCCGCCGGGCCAAAAAACGGACAATCTCAACCACCGAATCCAGAGCCACCAGGCTATAAAACGGTAATCCACCCGCAATGAGGCAGGTTTCCCAACCCCCCCCCCCAGCCGAGTTCTACTCCCTACCTATTTAGGAACAACACAGGGAAAGGCACCGACACACAAGTGTGTCGAGTACCATTTCCCTATGTTGCCCTAAATAGGTAGGGAGTAGAACTCGGCTGGGGGGGGGGGG